CATAGCTGAAGTCAACGTATCTTATTTCGACTTACCTCCCGTCCTCACAGCGCGTGATCAACGGCCGCGGCTCCCCCATCGACTCCGCTACCGCCGCTCGCCCTGGTGGAGTTCCGGAGTCGAGGGGAGCGCGTTCGGGGAATCGATCTATCACGTCTAGATGAGACGCGATAGATCGATCCCTGATAGATCGATCGCTACCTGCTGATTCGGCGGGTACTCTGGACGTACCTTTAGTGCCATGTGAGAGAAGAGTGGCAGCATGTTAACTTTCCAGGCAAGCCACTTTTCCTGTACAGAAAATACATTTCCTTTGCAGTCTGCGAAACATGGAGAGCTGAATGAGCAAGTCACTTAGCCTCGCTGTGCCTCTGTCTCCTCATCTGTCCAACAGGGAAGATACTTACCTGTTGTAAGTTGGGATTAAAGCTGGGTAAAAATCTGATTTTTTTTTCTGGTTCACCAGCAGTTGCAAAAAACTGCAAGAAAAAACAATTAGGTTTGAGTCTAACGGAATCCTAAATATTCAGAAATTTTCAGCGAATCAACAGTCAGTTTAGGGTCAAACTAACTGTTTTGTTCAACTGTAAATATTTTGTTTCTGGGCACTCTTCAAGGGCTGGATTCACAACATGACCAGAGGAGGCCGTGGTGGACTCCACCCCTCTGATCACTTTTAACCCAGTGGTCAGAGCACTCACTTGGGATGGGTGAGAGCTGGGCTCAATCCCCCTCTGCTCTATGTGGAGTAGGGATTTGAACAGGTGCGTCTCACCTGCCAAGAGTGTGTTCTAAGCACTGGGCTGTGGGGTGGCCTGGGGCAGAGCTCTCTGCCTCGCCTGTTGAAGCTGCTCCATTTGTATAGAATACTTGAATAGTTATTGGAGCAGAGAGGCCACAAAAATGGCCAAAACTACTGAGCACATTTGTATCAAATTTGCTAATAGGTTTAGGTTAACTATTAATTTTTTGGTGAATAAACTATTAGTGCAAAAAAATTCACCTAGCTCTAGTTAGAGCACTGGACTGGGACTCGAGCCATTTGGATCCTAGACCTGACTTTGCCACAAACTTTGTGGGATCTTCAGCTGGTCGCAGGCTATAATTTTCATAAGTGGCCACTAAGCTTTTTGAGTGCTATCGACTCCTATTTTAATGTTATTTACTACATGTTCTCTTCCGCTGGGAGCCTGATTCAGAAATGCTAACAGGTTTTACATAGTGTTGACCGAGGAAAGCAAACAAGCAACTCTGAACAAAGAAGGAACTTAATGATATAGCTGGTTCTCCTCCTTTTCTTAGCTGTCAAATAGCTGCCTCGAATACAACAGACGCTGGGTGATGGGGATGTAGTGCACACACTGTAATTAATTGGTACCTGTGTTAAAGGGTACACACCAGAGCTATTCAGCTGTAAAAATATTTGTTATACTGTATTCCTTGTCAAATACTAAGCCTATTCTTCCTATCTCCCTGTATTTTCTCTTTTGACTGGACACAGCATCCTTTCTCTCTTCCTTTCGCTAAGAGTTAGTTATGCAGCATGAAGAATGTTTGATTTCTTCATTAGAAACTGTTATATACTGTAGATGTAAGATCATTATCAGTAGTGTGTGGGGGGGCGTACACTGTTCATAAGTGTACAAAACATTCTTGGTTTGTATAGGTGAAATTTGCTATATAAATAACAAGACTTCCTGGAGAAAGACAGCACATGCTGTGAATTGGGCCTGCTCCCAGACAATCTTAACTCTTGAGTGATTAGCTTTTAATTATTATGCTATAAATTACTTAATAAGTGAGTACTTTTTATGGCACCTATTGTATCACATGACATCCGCTAAGCTCTGTGAAATACACATAATTACTATAACAGAAATGTAATTATAGATCTTATGTAGAATGGGAATTCTTGGATAGCAGGGATTTTGTCATCTCCCCCTACATCTTCTTTCCCTCGCTCCTCTCCTCCCCCCCAAAAAACCACACCACAACCCCATAGGGAATGCAGTGTGATCTAAAGGTTAAAACTGGGGTCTGGGAGGGCTCGTCTCTTCGCTCTGCCAGTGATTCGCTCTGTAACCTTGTGCAAATCATTTAATTGACATGATTTTTCACTGCCTTGTGCCTTGACTGCCTGACACTGGTGCAAAGTGCTACCAAATCCAATTGCACCTGTTGCTTATTCCAATTAGTGTGTTAGAGAGGAAGGATGGCCCAGTGGTTCGGGCATTAGCCTAGGACTTGGGAAACTTGTTGAAACTGTTCCACTGTATTTAAATAAAGATTCATTGTAGCAGGGGAAGTGGATCCTGGCTCTCCTACCTCCCAAATGGGTGTCCTAACCCCCAGGCTAGAGAGCCATTCTCTCTTGCTAGTCCAATGCTATTTATCCACCATAGAATAGCTTTAGGAGGAGAGATTGAAGGAACCCAACGTCAGAATATCCCAGAGCTCAAAGATGGAAGATCCCTGATCAAATCTCTTCTCCCCATCAGGCAGAGGGGGACACCGAATCCAGGTCTCCCCCATCCCAGGTGAGTGCTTTAACCACAGAGCTAAAAGTTATACAGTGGGGACTGCCTCTTCCTCCAGCCAGATTTTGAATGGGGCCCGATCTGCTAGGTGGCCTCTGAGCATATCTACTGGATCTACATGGGCCAGATAGGCAGACAAAGGCTGGATCTGGGCTTCAGCCTCACCTCAGTAAAATGGGACAATAGCACTGCCCTGCTTCCCAGAGATGTTAAGGATCTATATATTAAAGATTGGGAGGCACTCAGATGCTACAATGATGGAGGCCGTATAAGTACCTTAGACAGATACATCCACTATATGCAGGTATAAATAACCACACAAAGTACTAGGCATTGGTGAACTGGGTCCTTCTATGCCTCAGCTTCTCCATTTGTCAAATTGGAATATGGCTTTCAAAAGCTCTTTGAGATCCTAGAGTAAAAAATGGTGTCAACACCAACATGAATTGGGTTCTGTACATCTTGCATTGTAGTTGTTGCAATTGTGACAAAGTTCCTCCTCTATCTTGGTGGGTCCTGCGCTTATTGGCAGATTTTCTTACCTCAGAGATTCACCACGTGGGTTGGGGAACAGCCCAGAGACCTTCCCCTCTGGAAGAACTCACAGTCCAGGTCAACTGGGAGGTTTGGGGGGAACCCGGGCCCACCCTCTACTCTGGGTTCCAGTCCAGGGCCTTGTGGACTTCAGCTGTCTATAGTGCCTCCTGTAACAGCTGCATGACCGTTACAATTCCCTGGGCTACTTCCCCATGGCCTCCTCCAAACACCTTCCTTATTCTCACCACAGGACCTTCCTCCTGGTGTCTGATAACACTTGTGCTCCTCAGTCCACCAGCACACCCACACCCTCTCAACTCCTTGCACCTCTTGCTCCCATCTCCTCACACTCACACCACAAACTGAAGTGAGCTCCTTTTAAAAACCAGGTGCCCTGATTATCCTGCCTTAATTGATTCTAGCAGCTTCTTCT